GTCAATAAAGCTAGGGATCCTTAACCTGTAAATAGCTTGTCAATAAAGCTAGGGATCCTTAACCTGTAAATAGCTTGTCAATAAAGCTAGGGATCCTTAACCTGTAAATAGCTTGTCAATAAAGCTAGGGATCCTTAACCTGTAAATAGCTTGTCAATAAAGTTAGGGATCCTTAACCTGTAAATAGCTTGTCAATAAAGCTAGGGATCCTTAACCTGTAAATAGCTTGTCAATAAAGTTAGGGATCCTTAACCTGTAAATAGCTTGTCAATAAAGCTAGGGATCCTTAACCTGTAAATAGCTTGTCAATAAAGCTAGGGATCCTTAACCTGTAAATAGCTTGCCAATAAAGCTAGGGATCCTTAACCTGTAAATAGCTTGTCAATAAAGTTAGGGATCCTTAACCTTGTCAAACTGTGTAAAAAATAAGAAAAGTATTACAATAACTATCATCGCAGCTCAATAGTTTTGATATACAGGATTTTACTAATGAAAAATTGTAATTTTTCGATAGCATGTTTTGCTCTCCAAATATTTTACCCATATTTCTTTATTCCCTCCTCCCTTCGCCCCCGATGTTTCGCAACACCGTCACTGAGACAGTAAAGGGTCTCCTCTACAGATTTTTTCCTGAATAGCGGCATAAAGTATATCTCCAATTTATCAGCCAATTTTCCTTCTTTTAATAAAATCCGCCAAAACTGGAGAACAAATGGCTTAGTTCTTCCATATAGATTTTCAAAACAGAAGTGACGTCTCCTCCACTGCTTGTTATTCATTTGATTTTTTCCTGTCGTCTCTGTGACTGCTATGAAATCCAGGTAGTCATTCATTTTAAGTCTCATATATTAAGACTTCTTGGGTGAGACGTGACGGTGTGTGTGGGGGGGGTAAATATCTAACGAGACACAAGAGTGGTAGTAATGAGTGCCATCAGCTGGAGAAAGAGTAATACATGATGAAAAGAAGCAGCAGAAAAGAGAGAAAGAAAAGATGAAGAAACGTAGAAAGTGTAGTAGGCAAGTAAGTAATAAGGAGGGAAGAAAATCTCAAAATATAAAAAATAAACGAAGACAAGATGGCTCCAAAGAAAAAGAAGACCAACGAGACTAGACTGGTCCTTCCCACCTTCTCCCCTCTCATCCCTCCTATCTTCCTCCTCCTCCTCCTCCACACCACTCCATCCCACAGCTTTTCCTCTGTCACACAATTCCATCTCCCCTACACCCTCCTCCCCTCCCTCTCTGCCCTTCCTTCCACTACCCACATAATCCAGGCTGGCCCACTGGAATTGCACATTCCTATTCCAACGGAGAACAGCGTTGTGTGCATGTGGGTCACGCCCCAGGCTCCTCTAGAAGGGAATAGACAAGGCACGGGGGAAGGAAGACGAGGCAGGGGGAGGGGAAGATAACTCGGAATAGGAGAAATGACAATTATGGTTTAAGAGTTCAAAAACTTGAAGAAAGAGGGAAAAAATAAATGGCGAAAAATGTGAGGGAGGGTAGAAAATGAATTAATAGTGAAGGGAAAATAAGAAACAGAAATTAACAGTGATGGGTAAAACAGAAACAGAGGAATCAGGAGAGGATAAAAGAGAGGAAACATTAGCAGAGATGCTCTGAGGAGACTGGGAGGCACATGAGGTGATAAAAGAGACAGCAAGAGAACTGGTGGCAACAGACCAGGCAATCTGGAGGAACTGACTGGCAGGAAGAGGGAGGTCACTGATGATTTGGGGACTTGAGGAGGCCGATGGTAGGTCAGGGAAGGAGGAGATGGGAGGAGGAGGAGAAACATGAGACTATATCGATCAATGAGTGGAGGAAGAATTAGAGCAGATGGTAAATATTCAGAGGCTCGTGAAGTGCTTCAATGCTCGCTCAAGTGACTTGAAAGAGGCTCTTGAGACAGACCTTCTTGAAGAGTACAAGTTATGACTGTTTATAATTGAATCGAGACAGAATAGAAATTGAGGGGGGGGGGCAGTTGACGGAGTACGTAGAGTCGTCAATTACAAAAAAGAGAAGGTTAGGTTAGGTAAGGTTTGTCAGGAAACAGGACAAGTGTTTCCTGACGTGCGTCTTAGTCATATGATCACCCGCAGCTGGAGCTTTTGGTCATCTGACCAAGGCCTTCCGCTGGCTTACCGCTCCACCCCTTTAACAATGATAGTTGTGATTATAACCAATTGTTAAAATAAGAAAGAAGCAAAGAGAGTGGCAAGAGGTAACACACAGCCTCCAAAAGCCTCTCAAGGCTCAATTCTTTGTCCATATTTCAGCGTAACCAAGTCAAGGCCCACGCTCACTGCCTTCACAGTAACAATAACCAGACACTCTCTTCCCTCCTCCCACTATAAAAATACAAACATCCACCCCAGCCTCACCTCTTCCCCTCTTTACACATGAGCTGCAAACAGAAAGCTTGGACACAACAAACCAGAGGATAGTAAATGAAAGAATACGGCACACAGACTGGGTTATTGAAAGTGATGAAATAAAGAACGAATAGCAGAGGCAACCCAAAACATCGTAGCAATCAAAGAAACAAAAATTAACTGACATTTTAACAAACACCATATTCCCACCTGGATATCAAGCAATGAGGAAAGAAAAGGGAAAATGGGATGAAGGAGTTGAATTATACTGCTTATCAGAAACACGCTGAGTTACGGAGAGATGATAGGGATAAACAAAACTGAGTTAAATGATTATATACAGTAGAGGGCACAATAAAGACTGGAGGATCCAAAATAGTAGTAACAACGATCTATTTGACAGGGACTTCCCCGCCAAATAGTAGAATACCCCAACAGGAATACGAAGACAAACACAGCAAAGGATGACACCAAAGTGGAAGCAACAAAACTCCATATGCTAGAGGCAAAACATAAAAGATATGAATTACGAAGAAACAGTCAGGGAGAACTGGAACCCACCTGGAAGTCCAGACAAGTGGAGGGCCAAGATGCTGGAGGTGGACAGTGAAAATTACGTAGCACATCACGGACACAAGAAGAGAGAGGAGATGAGCCAGCAAGACTGGATTTACTATTTACCATAAACATGTTTGATATAGATGAAACAATATGAGAAACGTCTGGGCGCTAGCAACCATACAATCCTGAATTTCGTATATCTTGTGAAGTAATGACTGAGGAAAGACTGGCAGGTGGGGGGACGGGAGAACCAGATTTTAAAAAAGGAAACTTCAAGGTGATGAAGGAATTCTTGAATGCAGCACCATGAGAAAAGGAACTGGAAGCTAAGTCAACAAATGAGATGATTGAAAACCTGACAGGAAAGTACCGAGAGGAAGAAGAGAACTTCATACCCAGAAGATGTAATGGTAAGAAGAGAAAGAAGAACCAGTGGTTCAACCAAAAATGTAGACAGGAAAAATCAGAAAATGCAAGATCACAAGAGACTGGAACAAAAACCTAAGGAGGAAACAATAACAAAAAGCACAACACTACCGTGGATCAGAGTACCTCAAGGGAAGGAGACAGAGTGTACGAGAAGACAAGTGAGCAAACATGAGGACATATTAGGAAACGTTTCGGTCCTATGACCTTGAGAAATGATCAAGGTCCCAGGACCGAAAAGTTTTCTAATAAATATGTACTAGTGATAAACTCCAGCAAAGACAAGGTTGTGAAAACTAGGAAAGGGGCAAGAAAAAAAGAAACTGAGTATGACCTTAGGGGATAAAGGCTGCAACCCCTCACTCAAGGAGTAAAGTCTAGGGGGTGAGTATAGTGCCGAGCATATCGCCAGTGGATCACATCAAGTGAATAACCTTCAGACTCTCAATAGTCATTCACTGCCCTAAATAATAATAAGAAACTGAAAAAGTGCAAAGATATGTAACAAGAATAGTCCTAGAGCTATGGGATATGAGCTATGAGGAGAGACTAGAGGAACTGAAATTGAGATAACAGGATAGAAGAACCAGAGGAGACATGATAATATATAAAATACTCAAGAGTGGCTGACAGGATGGACAGGGAAAGACTTTTCGAAAGGAGAGGAAAAGGTACACGAGATAACAGTTCAATGTTAATTCAGATGAGTCACATGGATGTCAAAAAGTATTTCTTCAGACATCAGGGTAGTCAGAAAGTGGAACGACCCCTACGAAGTAGTAGTAGAGGCAGGCTTCATACGTAGTTTTATGAATAGATGTGACAGAGTTCACGAAGCAAGAAGTAAACCCGGCAAGTGGCAAGTTAAGAGGTGGAGCCCTGAGATTTGATTCGACCCCTGAAACCACATAGGTGAACACACACACACACACACACACGAGGAGCCAAGACCCTTTCAAATTCTATCGATATTCTACGAGGGACTGCCGGAAATCAGGTGTGATAGAGAGGAGTCGCTGGATGCCTCTTTTAAGACAGTGAGAAGTTATTCACCCTACTCCACCAGACAGATCTACATACACTGAATGTAAGAGTAAGGTGGTGAGGGTATGTTTAGTAAAGAGTGCCTCAGTGACTTAAGGCACTCTTGAGAGTGCTTCACTGACTCAAGGCACTCTGGACGGTGCCTCACTGTTTCCAGAAATACCGAGGAAATCAGTGAGGTGTTCGCTAACAGCCAACACCTCACTGATTTTCCAAGCACTGGAATCAAAATATCTCCCAGAAGATTCTACACATTCACACGTACCACACACAATAATAATAATAATAATAATAATAATAATAATAATAATAATATTAAAAAACTCAAAACTTATCATAAGGAGCTTGGATACACAAACACAAACAAACGTTCATCAACCTTGATAATCCACACCCCAAAAAAAAGAACCAACCTTAAAGACAACAGCCCCCCCCCCATCAACCCCTCACTCAACATACACAGTTTCGATAAACCAAACAGAAACCGTTGGGAATTTTTACTTACCAACAAAAATCGCGTTTACAGCAGAATATGAGTGAGAGGTAGAGGTGAGTGTGTGTGTGTGTGTGTGTGTGTGTGTGTGTTTACCTGGTCGCGGGGGCGATGCTGCTGCCACCTGTCATTGCTCTGGAAGAGAAGGAAAAAAAAGGTGACCGGTTTTAAAAGAAAAGGAAAAAAGGAGTTTTTTTTTAGGGGGGGGAGGGAGGGGGGTAAGTTTTGATCCCGTGACGAAATTATTATATTGGTGACTTATTACATTATTATTATCATAATCAAGGGGGAAGCGTTAAACCCGTAGAATTATACAGCGCCTGTGGGGGAAGGGATGTGGAAAGTATTCAGGCTTAATTCAGGGAACTGGAGCACAGATCCAATTCCCTAGATCAAGAGCCCCTCACCAGCGTCAAGGAACCTTCCTTGAGGGGAATCATTATTACACTGTTTTGTTTCCTAATTCAATCTTTCCATTCTTCAGTCCTTCCCTCCCTCCCTCCATCCTTCCCTCCTTCAGTCCTTCCATCCTTCCCTCCCTCCATCCTTCCCTCCCTTCATCCCTCCCTCTCTCCCTCTCACTCCCACACTCACTAAATAAGGTTTTAGTAAGTCCTCTGAGTCATTATGTTGGGTTTATTAGTTTTACATCAAATACGGAGGAGGAAGAAGAGGAAAACGAGGGAACTAAGGAAGGAGTAGAACTGTAGAAGAGAAGTAGATAACAGTGGGAGGGACTGTGACTGTGAGAACACACACACACACACACACACACACACACACACACACACACACACACACACACACACACACACACACACACACACACACACACACACAATATAATAAATTCCTGGTCGATTCAATTTCAATTCGGGAATAAAGTCAATTATACATAGCCTGCGGTGTGAGAGACACTGTGTAAGGTAGCCAGTGTGAGAAAGGCAGTGTGAGGAGGCGAGTGTGAAGAACGCAGTGTGAGGAAGGCAGTGTTCAGTGTTCCCACCAAGAACTCCATCGGACCTTGCATGTGGACGCTGCCCTTCACCCAAGGTGCTGCCCACACACTAACCCTTGATCCGATGAAGGGGAGCGGTAGCTGCAACTCCATGGATCAAGAGCCCCTATTCACAAGCTCGCAAGGAGACAATAAAGCATGTCTATGATAACAACAAGTGGAGTTGTGATAACTACGATCACTCAGTGATAACTGTCAATCAAGGCTGGAAAAAATGGATGAGAGGAAGTGGATGACAGGAGGGAAAGTGGATGACAAATAGTAGATGACAGGAGAAAATGAATGACAACGTGGGTTTTCCAGTGGACAAAGTGACTTAATGAGAATATACAAGACAACTTCCTGGTTGTATGAAGGTTTTATTGAATTATGTCTGGTTGATACACTCTCCTCACCACATCACCACAACACCACACACGCACATCACCACGACATATCACCCCCACCCCACACATCACCCCACACATCACCACACACATCACCACACACAATCACCACACACACAATCACCACAACACATCACACACCCACATCACCACAACACATCACCACAACACATCACCACAACACATCACCACAACACACCCACACAAACACATCACACATAAGCATCACCACAACACACACACACACACACACACCACAGTAGGTTAAAGAACAGGAATAACAGGGCGCACTCAGCACCCAGTAGCAACCAGAGGAGAGGCCGGACCAGGAGCTGAGACTCGGCCCCACCAACCACAAAGAGGTGAGCGCTACCACACACTGCCACTAAAACCCGAATACAATACATGTCACCTTTAAAATTCCAATATCAGCCGCTTATGGCTCAGCAAAATGGCACTGGAACCTATTAGTGACACCTGTCATTACAGTGACACCTGTCATTACAGTGACACCTGTCATTACAATCATTACGGAGGCACCTTTTATGACATCCATTTTGATGGCACTCGTCACCATGATGGAATCTATCATCGTGATGGCACCCACTTTCATGATGGCACTCATTACTGCAGTGCCAAAGGAAAAATATATCGTATCTCACAGATGGTAATTTCTATTTAAATCTGATGGAAAGCAAATAGAAAAAGTCTGTATTTTACGACAGATAAGAGACTAAGTTAGATTTTGAAGATAAAGTTGGTGATTTGAGTGCTTAGGAAAGTTGTGAGGGGAGAGGCACGAAGGGAGAAGAGGGAGCAGAGGGAAGAGAGAGGGGGAGAGAAGAGAGGGAAGAGGGAATATATGGAGAAGGAGAAATGGGGAAAATGAGGGAAGAAGAGACAGAGGAAACGGGAAGAGGGAACAGGGGTGAGAGGAGAGGGAGAGTTGTGGTGTTGGCTGTGCTGGAAGTGGAGAACAGTGGGGGAGGTGGTGGTGGAGAAGGTGCTGGAGACGGTGGAGTTGATGGTAATAACCTAAACAGTAAACTCGAACAAGAACAATAACATGAACAACAGCAACAACAAATACATTCACAAAATTTTCAATTCGTAAATAGAAATCATCTTCCCCTCTAAACGTGTCCCCTCATCACTCTTTCTCTTGTCTCTCCATACTCTCCTACCCTCAGTATCTCCTCTAGCCTCCTCCCTTCGCTTTTCCCCTCTCACTCTCCCACTCATCTCCCCCACTCTCTCCCATTCGTCTTCCTTCTGCCTTCTCTTATCTTCCCAGCAAATACTGACGCCGGAACGCTAGTTGAGAGAGGACACAGAGATAAATGGAAAACAATAAGGAAAAGACAGGAGATTGGAAAGTGGGGTAGAGAAAGAGGATGAAAAGAATGGAAGAAAGAATGAGAGAGAGAGACATATTGTTTACACATGACATAACTCTACGAATACTACACTTCACATTTCAGTTACACTGCTGCAGCAGCAGGTGTTGTGGCAGTGTTTATTTAGTGTGTCAGGACACACAACAAGTGCCCTATAACCAGTTAACTAGTTAAAACTCCCATGGTCTACCCCAGCTAGGCCTACCCTAGCTAGACCTACCCCAGCTAGCGTTTCAACACATTCCAACAAACAATACACTATCAAACTGACGCCTTAAAACTGAACAAATCATCTCAGCGTGAAGTTATGGATTTGCATTTTTGCACATGAGATTATGCGATTCAGTTTATACCCAACAACTCTGAACCTCACGAAGCTAACACTTCAGCATGTCGTTGTCAGATGAAGTGGGACTTGGCTAAGTGTCCCACGGATGACATACGTGCAAATCTGAGCGTTGCCCTGGGCTTGCCCGCACACCATGGTGCCAGACGTACAGTGGACGTTTTAATTAATTTGCGCATTTGTAGTTAATTAAGCTTGAAATTAATGTGCTCTGGCATTCCCAGATATCGTTCTTAAAGGATAGAACGAAGAGGCATTCCCAGATATCGTTCGTAAAGGACAGAACGAAGAGGCATTCCCAGATATCGTTCGTAAAGGACAGAACGAAGAGGCATTCCCAGATATCGTTCGTAAAGGACAGAACGAAGAGGCGTTCCCAGATATCGTTCGTAAAGGAGAGAACGAAGAGGCGTTCCCAGATATCGTTCGGAAAAAAAGAGCAAAGTGGTATTGTTAGAATTGGTTGGGAGTACACGGTGATGGTGACGCCAAAACAGAAATTGATCCTTGAAGACCGTAACACATCCTCTCCTCCAGGTATTACAACGTCACCTGAACACCGTAACACATCCTCTCCTCCAGGTATTACAACGTCACTTCGTAACACTATACTGCTTAACAATATCAAATATCAACAGTGTTTTAAAGCCTTGACGACAAAATTGTGATATTTTCCAAAATGTCAACATGGAGAGGGAAAAAAATTGACGAAGGTGGAAAAAAATAGCTGGAACGCTTAGATGTAAACATGATAGGAAAAGCAAACGTCCAAAAACTAACGTATAAAATTTATATAGTGTGCATGAAGGCGATAGCGCCAGTGTTATAGTGAGCTAGCTCTCTCTGTTTGTCTCTCTCTGTTTGTCTCTCTCTGTCTCTCTCAACTATAATATTATCCAAAGGAACGGGTCAGGAAAGGTTAATTAACTACTTGTGATAATTACTCAGCGTTTACCCTGGATCTACCCAAAGTCTGCCCAAAGTCTATCATGAAACTACCCTGAATCGACACTGAGTCTACAATGAGTCTATCCGGAGGCAGCTCTGGGGGTCAACTCCCCCTCCCTCCCCGCGGTCCGGTCCATGACCAGGCTTCCAGGTGGATCAGTACCTGATCATCCAGGCTGTTACAGCAGGCGTCACGCAGGCCAACGTAGGCACCACAGCCCGGCTGATCAGGAACTGACTTTACAATCTTCAACGTAATTTATTCAGGGGAAAAAATATAAATGTTTTTATGTAGTCAATAATTCTGTCACAGTCAATATTCTTAAAAAAAATTATATTTCCTTCTATTCACAAAATGTAAATCTGTAAATTTTTTTTGTAAATTTATAATGTAATTTACATTTAATCCCAATAAAACAATTATTTTTTTTCCAAAATGCGAAGAAATTGACAAAACTTGAAGCTTTTTCTGAATTATGAAGCAACATACAATATTATTTTTGTAACTTTTAATATACAATTTTTTTTATTTTTAGGTGTGATCAGCACAATCTTAATTCATGGTGTGGGGACTGCCTCTTGTGGGGACTGCCTCTTGTGGGGACTGCCTCTTGTGGGGACTGCCTCTTGTGGGACGCCTCTTGTGGGGACTGCCTCTTGTGGGGACTGCCTCTTGTGGGGACTGCCTCTTGTGGGGACTGCCTCTTGTGGGGACTGCCTCTTGTGGGGACTGCCTCCTGTGGGGACTGCCTCCTGTGGGGACTGCCTCTTGTGAGGACTGCCTCCTGTGGGGACTGCCTCTTGTGGGGACTGCCTCTTGTGGGGACTGCCTCTTGTGGGGAATGCCTCTTGTGGGGAATGCCTCTTGTGGGGACTGCCTCCTGTGGGGACTGCCTCCTGTGGGGACTGCCTCCTGTGGGGAATGCCTCTTGTGGGGACTGCCTCTTGTGGGGACTGCCTCCTGTGGGGACTGCCTCCTGTGGGGACTGCCTCTTGTGGGGACTGCCTCTTGTGGGGACTGCCTCTTGTGGGGACTGCCT